GATTAATTCAAAAAAGTATTTAAAAAGATCAGTGCAATGTAGAATAACAATATCGGTACCAAAGAGAGAGAGAAAATTCTGTATAATTTAAGGACAATAAAGGTTTTGGGTTTACAAGGACGAATAGGTACTGAAATGCGCTTATAATAAATTTTATCTTTTTAAATTAATAAAGTTTGCAGGACGAAATTCGATGATGAGGTCGTGCATATATTAGTCCTCAAACAATAATTAAAAAAAAAATATAAATATTACAAATTTTTAAAAGATATTTTCCATACCGATTCGTCCTTATGCGCCGAAAAATGAGTTCTGTTATAATTCTACAGAATTTTTACTATTATATGATACCCATATTGTTATTCTCACATATGTTATACTACCCTATTGGCAGTAAGAGCTAGTACCGTTCGAAAACATTACTGTACAGATATATCGATAAACACGTACGAAAGAAAAGGAAGACATATGTACGTTTATAAATAAACATGTACACAACACATACACAAAAACGGCACTCACGCACACAATACATTCACAAAAACGATACTAGACTATCTCGCTTTGATTTCAGAATGCTTATAGGCAACGCAGATGGTGCGTCTGACTCGCGAGTCAACTGTGTACGTGTGGACTCGCCTTTCCACTACACGCAGTTGAGTCATCCAGATTCATACAAGACTCATGTCGGTGTAACTAACACACATTTATTTTTACTAACACATCCAAACCGACTCACGAGTCAGACGCACAGTGTATGCCGCCTATTACACATTGAGAAGTTAGCTTACTGCCAATATAGAAGTATTACATATATTATATTATTATAAATTGCACTGAATTAAAAAAAAAAAATTATTTTTTGAAATATTGATATTTTTAAAATTTCCAAGTCCTTTAAAAAAAAAACCCTGACGTCAGAGAGAAGAACTAAGTACGCAGTTTTACACAATTTACCCATAGTTTCGCGAATATATTAATTTTTGTGTGCGTAAAATTTACTGTCGCACGGTGTAATAATTTTTCATCACTTAAAAATTTTGCGCCTGATACTTTGACGCTTTGAAGTCGCTTCATGTGCAGATCTTGAGGCGTAGAGAAATGTTCGCTGCATAAAAAATTTAATACGCGTCTAATGCTATACGACCCGCGTGCAGACTGCCTAAGTGTGCTACGCGAATCTCATTGCAGAACCTCAATTTCTTTTCAATAAGATGAAGGTTTACTATCTTTCTAACGTTAAACGCTCGTTTCGAATCGAATGAAAGTAACTTCTAACAAATTGCATAAATTCACTTCAATTAAATCTCTTATCTAAAATCATATTTGGCAACGAATGGTTTGGGACTCCTTTCCAACTTTTACACTAGAATATTTTTTTTTATTTATACGCACCCTATACGCAGCTACGCATGAATATAAGGGGCGTTCCATACTAAAATGGACGGGGTTCACATTTCATGTGTTTGATTTGTTTGCAATTTTTAGGGTTGATGGATAAACATAAATACTAAATAAAAATTAAATTTGAGCTTGACCAATACATTTTTAAAAACTTTACAGCACAAAAAAAAAACAAATCGATCTAATAGTTTTCCAAATATCTCGAGAACGGGACGAGGAAAAAATTTGAAAAAAGCACACATACTACATACATCAGCTATTAAATCGATTTGTTTTTGTCTTTGCGCATTTTCATATGACCACTCATTATTTCTTATTTTCTTCAGTAGTAACTTGATTTTTGTTTGTGACAGAAAAGGCTTTAGCACAGATGCAAAAATTAATTGGTCAGAAACTATCAGTCCTATCGGAAAATGATGTATATATGGTTTATGGAGAGTTTCATTAGCTTTCATTAGACGTATCTCCTTTTAAGATTGTTAAATTGATTCGTAAGATATACGTGATTAAGTGGAACCACTTTTTGTTTTGAGCTGAATAACGGTAAATTGAAAATATCTCGAAAACGTATCCATAGAAAAAAAATTTGCTCGATTTACATAAAAATTGGATAGTGACGTCTGGAGAACAAAAACTAAACTAAAATTTGTGATCAAGCGAAGTGTGAACGCCGTCCATTTTGGTATGGAACGCCCCATAAATAAATGCATGCGATGGCTACTTACAATCTATGTTTAGCTCATATCTACTCTACATACATAAATATTTGTATCACAAAACCAAAGAAAGATAAACAAATTGAATCCAACTTGATTCGTAGTACTAGTTTCAATTGCATTTGTTATTACAGCTGCATCAGCAACTTGGCGCGGCGCTTCCCATCTCTCCCCCGCACTCTTACAACACCCTCCGCAGTCTGATGCAAATACGAAACCAGTTATTGTGCGTAAAGTGAAAAATCCAATTTAAGTTGCTTTGCCGTAGCTGATTGTTGTTTGCATTTTAGAGATATGCATAGATTCGAATGTACTATGTACCCACATACATACATACGTACATATGTATGTTTGTATGTACATACACCCACTAGAAAAAGTTTCCGAAAAAAGATTTTTTTTATAATATTTATACTTATCGTTACAATGTCGAAAAATTTAAATTATCTGCGAAGCAATCGAACCATATTCGCAAAATGAATGCACGCGCCAGATATTCTCATTCAGCCTTGTTGCACATAACCGAAGTGGTTAGGTTCGATTGCTTCGAAGATAATTTTAATTTTTCGACATTGTAGGTACTTTCAGCGTTCGTAAACCATTCGCCGATTACACTATGCGACAGTCAAAATCGGGATGGGATGAAACCAACGGGAAATATTATATCGGTCAAAAACAAGTTATACGTGTCACGGCGTTTCGCTGGGTCACGTCTAGGAATCGAGATATATATATAACTATCATATAGGGGAAATTGTCACCTTTGGTGGTCTTTTTTTGACATAACTCGAGAACCACTAGTCCGATTGTGCTCCAACAAATTTAAAAAAATTAAAAATTACAATTCCCTTAATCTGTTCATATAACGTTTTTCTATATAATCAACAGTATACAAGTATATTTTAGCTCACAGGTTTTCTTTTAAGTACACAGCGTATGTTAAGGCTTTACGTCACTCCCAAATAGATTATGCTTCTAGGGTTAAGAAAGCTTTAGTTTGAAAGTGTGATATTAAATGTTTTTCACAATAAACGGCGCCAATTTTCAATGATTATTGCGTCTCAGATTAAGACTGGAGAGGGGCGTTAGTTTAGTCGCATTGAGCTGGCATGTGAAGAGGTGGTTGGTGTCGTGAGGGGATTCTCCACATGCCGGCAACTCATTGGGGATATTGGGGTCGAGTCTGGACAGGTAGCTGTTGAGGCGGCTACAGTATCCAGACCGTAATTGTTCCTCTTGAGGTCGTCCTGCATTAACTTGGGAGCGTTACTGATGTTTATGATTTGCACTGCTAATCGCCCATAATACTGTGAGACAAATGGTAGGGGTCAGTGATCGGGAAGGGTTCAAACTACCCGGGAAAGTTATATCGGTAAAAAAGAAGTTATACGTAAAATATAGTTGTGAGTTTGACTAATAATAAGACATAGTTTTATTAATAAAAACTATAACCACATTTATTTAAAACAACAAAATAAAAAGTAAATTTTGTGTTAAAATTAAAAAAAAAAATACCCATTTAGTATACGCCTCGCAGACGTAGATTATACTTTTAGGGTTAATCCTTTCAGTACAAAAATTCAACTACTGGTTCTAAAAAATTTTAAATATGTATACCGGCTAATTTTGGATCGTTCATTTTAAAAATCACATAGAAAAAATGTGTCATGAATGATGAATGATTTCACAGTTTCACAGCTCTGGTATATACATAGATAATAAACAATTTAAAGACACATAAGTTTCAAAGTTTGTCTAAAACATTAGAAAAATTTGTGAAATTTGTATCAAAATTTCAAACTTTTTGTCAGTTTTTTTTTTTTGGATGCAGTTATGCAGTTTTATAAACCATACAAGTTGCTACAAATTCCGTTGACTCTTGATTTTTTCTGGCGGTGCTTCAAAACTTGTCAGAACACTCATTGTATGCGTGACAACACCAACAAAAAAAAAAAAATCTAACAAAATTGTTGTAATTCGACCCTTATGAGCCATTTTGAGATTTGAATGACCTCAGCTACTTTTCTTCCCACCAACATTCCGCCAAAAACGAAAAGATTTCTCGAACTTATAATTTTCATTTTATTCCATTTCATTTTCTTTGCATTGTTTTATTTTGTAAAACCAAGGTGTATTACATTTTGTGTAAAACTACAAACTTATGACAAATATTTGTGATCAAAATACATACACTGAGAAAAATTGTGTAGAAGCGTCAAAGGAAGGAAAAATGTAGGATAACGTCGACGGGACGCCGGCCAGTACCTTTGAGATTTCTGCTGTGTAAGGGGTTTTCAGTTTCAATGGAATAATTCTCGTATTGGGGTTGGGCATTCAAATCGAATATAGCCAGCAGAAGTCTATACTGAAGCATATATTAGGAAGTGTTAAGTATTTTTTGAATGTACCATTAGCACCAAAAGCTTAACTACAGTTAATAGCTCATATAAGTTCTAAGAATTTTAATAGAGGCTAATAGGCAAGCTTTATTTCTTACTTTTTGCTTTTTACTTTCGTTTTCTTCCACTAAACATGAGTAATTACCTGCTTTGAGTTGTAATAGGCTTGTTCCAATACGCATAATGCATAACCTGCAGTTAAGGTTTTGTGGGAATGGACTATACTTATTTTGTATTTAAGAGTAAAATAGATAAATTAAAATTGTTTTTGTCATTTTATGGCCCTATAACAATTATATTCAACAATTTTTATTGCGCTTGAGGCCGTTTTTAATGAAAAACTTATTGTGGAAAAGCAACAATAATTTGAAAAAAAAATATGGTAGAAGTGATAGCTATTTCGGAAATCGGATGAGGAAATGTGGTGATTTTCGAACCATTTTTTCAAATTATTGTTGCTTTTCCACAATAAGTTTTTCCATTAAAGTAAAATAAAACCTAAACAAGGATACAAATTATAAAGTTGTCAGATCCAGCCAGAGTTGTATGGAGCCAGTATAAAAAAGTGTATCAGAAAAAGAAATAATTCGCGGACAAAGCGAGAGGAAATGAAAAAATATGAAACATTTTTAAAGAAGGTTCCGGCTTTGCCAGGTTAAAATTGTACTTAAGAAAAGAAGAAATTGTCGGCCCTTAGGAGTAAATAATAAAGCAAGGTACAAGGAGTGAATTTGGCATTTTTACAGTTATTAAAAAAGTATTTGAATAATTAAGTCATGTTGCACTAAAAAATTGCCTTTGTTACAAAAAAAGTGATACTCGCAAAGTAACCCAAAATAGACTTTCATAACCCCATTACTCTGCACTCTATCATATTCGGTTGCCTACTTTTCGGCGCTCAAGCCATATACTAAGAAACAAAGATATGTATGTATGCATGTGTTTAATAATGGATTCACAAAGCATTTTAAAATGTTTTTGATTTTTCGTAGGATTTTGTTGCATTTAGCCCGCTACCTATGCAAATTCGTTCAAAATTGTGTGTACGTATGTATGTAAGTGCGTCTGTTTGCGAGTTATTTTGTATGCACTATATTTTGGGTATTTTTTACGGATTCATTTAATGGTTTTCCGTCGATATAAACTAATTGCTTGTTGGCTTTTTACAATAAAGGCTACGCGCGCTTCAGTTTCTACGCGTTCTATACAAAGATCAGCTTTGTAATTACTAAACGCACAGTTTAACTAAACGTTTTGCAGTTAACATTTTCATAGCATTACCCCAGCAAACAGTATCTAACGTTAGAGAACTATTTTGATTTTAGAATTCTAAAGTAGTTCTCGAATCGGAAATCAGGTTAGAGCATTATGTTAGAATTCAATTAGAGAATGGTTAGAAAAGCACTAAGCATAAGAAACCGATTTAAATTCAACCTTTTTCTCGATATTGAGAACTATATTATCGACATTTTCTCTGATCACCTTCTAACCTTCTACATTAGAATTCGATTCGTTTTCTAATCGTTGTCTAACCTGCAAGTTTGTCGGGACGCTGCAAATTTTGCAAAAAAAAGGAAAAACATAATTGAAGGTGCTGAAAAACAAGAATTATTGTTTTCGCTGTTGTCGTTAATAAGTTTGGTGTAACTATTTCCAATATTTTACCAATAATAATATTTACCGCCATATCCGCTATCATATAGTTATATTTATTTTTTTCATACAGCACTAAAACTTATTTACTTTATAGGGTTTATTGCAGCAGTTATGTTCGTTTATATTTCCCTTGTGTGTGTGTGCGCGCGATAATTTATTTAGTCCTATCCTCTGCGAGAGAGGAAAAAGGCATTGTATTGCTTGGAAAAGTAAAAGTAAGAATGCGCAAAGCGACAAAAAATATTTACAAATCAAGCTGCATCTTGCAACAAATTTGCGTTTACATGAATATATGAATATGTAATACAAATTGTGTATGTATTTAGTGAACATGATTGTTTCTTTATCCGCTATGCATCAGAGTATATGCATGCATTTTGTTTTTATTTTATTTTAGTTTAAGTTTACTGCATACACGATGATTATGTATGTATTATATTGCATAATTATGTGTTGTATAGTTGAGTTGAACGCTTCGCCAAAGAAAATATTTATTTTTTGTATTGTTATCATAGTATACCCGATGGAAAAGTTAAACCCAAACAATGCTGCATACAAAATTACAAAGTTGGGCCATCCGAATAGTCCTCAAAATCATCACATTCGTCTAGAAAATCTGAAAACAAATCGGGACTGACATCATAGCCCAGCCGCAGTTCAGAATTCTCTATGTCAGCCGCCATTTGACGCAAATTATCCACACCAGCAAGAAGTTGCCTGAACAAAAAGCAAAATATCAACTAATTAATAAATAAAAAAATAAAAAATTTGTTCCATTACCTCAGATTATTTTCTGCATTTGATGCAGCCCTAAGCAAATCCCTTGATATTTGTTGTGTTCTGGACGGTCGACCCACAGTGGCACGTACACCAGCACTTGCTCCAGCCGCAGCAGCACCAGCAGCGGAACCACTAGCATCCGTCGCGAATGAACGCGAACGATCACAGCATGTTACATTGAAACCACCTACGGCGCCCTCTTCGCGCAACATCTCATTTTCACGTCGCACTGCTTCCAATTCCGACTGTAAATACATAAAATATAAATATTTATTCAAGCGTCCAACTATGTTCATACACTCTTCATAACTTCAACCCACCATCAATTGTGTCACTTGCTGTTTTAGTTTTATAACATAATTTTGGGACGTAGTCGACCCTGGTGTTGCTGCTGTTCGGGTGCGTTTACTTCTATCTGTTAAACCTTCTACACGCTCATTTGTTCCCGCATCTTCTACCTTTTGCTGTTGTTGCTGCTGCTGTTGTTGTAATTCTCGCGTCTGCAGCTGATGCTCCAAGTCATTTGCACGCCGTGTCTGTTCATTCAGTGCAATGCGTGCATCATTCAATTCCCGCTGCAAGCGATCATTTTCAATACGTAGCCTCGATAGCTGGGACGAGATTGGTGGATCGTCTGGCGAACCTATGGAATTTGATGGCAAACCGACAGCCACATCAGCTAGTCGTTGCGAAGAATGTATTATTGGTCCATCCGAGAGGAAATCAGGCAACATTTTTGCATTGCTTGCGGTAGCCTCAGCTGTGGCACCTCCTCCTCCAACGCAAGCGCTTACTCCACCATATGCTTGTGAGGGACCGGGTATACCATTGCCGCCGCTTACATCATTTCCACCAGTCACATCGCAGCCGCCACCATTGCCAACACCGCCGCCGACGGCACCGCCTGCTACATCGACATCACTAAAATCGCGTGTAGGCGAGTTAGGCGGGGAATTGAGATGCATATCATGTGCATACCACGACTCTAGCCAATGATCTTGCACAAAGTCGGGCAGCACACCGGCGGGGAATTCACCTGCATTGCTGGGTAGTGGACGGGTAACCGGCGGTGCGGCAGCTACAGAGTTACCACCGCACGCGCCGCTGCTCATATCACCAAGTGGCAAGTTGACCTTCGATTTGGACGAATTTGTGTTTAAGGCCAGGCGTGTGGGTCGCGCGTCCCTCGTGCCACCACCACTAACACCACTGATGTTTGTAACTGCTGCGCGGCGCCGTGGCGAAGCCGATGTGGACGACATAGGCATTTCATAATTTGAATATGATCGTGGTACGTATTGGTGTCGATCGTATTCGCCTGTATTACTTGCACCCGTACCGCCATCGCCCATGCCGCGGCTTATACGTGTGGACGACGAGAAGAAATCTGCAATTTATTTTAATAAGAAATAAGAAATATAATATAAATGGTGATAAATAGGCAGTTACCACTGCTCTCTGGGTAGAGTCGAAAACCGGAGCTGGCATTGGCGCCCACACCTACTCCCCTTACTGCACTTGATCCCTTGCTACCTATGCCCTCTATTTCCGCATCCGCACCCACTGTCACGTATTCTGCCAGACTCGCCTGCGAGTCGAATGAGGAAAATCGTGGTGAACGTTTCATTTTTGTTGCTGATGTGCTATCCTGCTGGCCTACGCCTGCTGTTGCTGACAAGCCACCACTACCGCCGGATATTAGTGACGATATTGCCGTACTTGACAGCGAAGCTGACTGAGGAACTTTTGGACGTGCGCCGGTCGAAGTTTGATTTGAGGCACCGCTATTGGATGCTGTGGCGTTATTGCTTTGAGAACCGTTGGCGCAATTGGACGCTGTAGAATCTAATGTTGTGACTGTAACAGTGCTTGAAGGCGCTGTAAGCGGCGGACCGCTGCTCAAAAAGTGTTTGAAAGAAAAAGAAGATGTATTCTGGGTCGGTGCCACATGTGGTTGTGAAACAGACTGTGTAGTGGTACTGCTGCTGGCAGATTCCCACGTTGAGCCAGCATTTATTTGTTGCGTCGTGGCTGATAAATTAGAAAACGGTTAAAAATAGGTATGTGATTATACAAACGCGGCTTTTGCCCCTTACCATTTACATGAGCTGTTGTTCGCTCGGTTGTGTAATCCCCATAACCATCTTTGTTGTCATTGCCTCCCATCGGCCCGTTGATACAAAGATCAGCTACTAGATCGTTAAGTTTGCCGCGCATAAATGTTGTCGTCGTCGTCGCGAACTGACTGCTTCCAGAGCTGGCACTGGCACAATCGCCACCGCCTGCGCTGTTGACCTTGTTCTTGTCACCATTTTCCACTGCGCCACCGTCTACTGTCATCTCAGCTGCACAATCTGTCAGCGCATTTGTCGCTTCTCCTGCATTCGACGTCAACGTCACACCTACGCTTACGGGAAGGGAATCCAAGCTGTTATTGTTGGTGCCATTGCCACTACAGCTGTTGTTGTTGTTATGTTGCACCTCATCGTTTTCCTTTGCCATAGTTCGTCTTTATATTTGTGTAACGCTGTGTTGTTTCTGCTACGTTGCTTTGCCTGCCGTTGTCCCGTCTGCAGTTTTTTCTATCAGTTACAATGGTATTCTTCCTCTTTGTTAAGTTTTTACAGCCACTGCCTGCAATTATTGTACATTAACTTGCTCTACTCTTTACGTAGTTCCTTTCCTCATAAGTATATTTTATTATTACACAGCTACGGTAAACAAAAGACTGCAATTAGACCAGATTCTTTTCAAAGTTTACAGAAATTTTCAAGAATTGTTAATTTTCCTCAATCTGAAAGGCCCTTCAAGTGGAGTTGCCAGATCTGTCGGTTGCGATGGTTTCTGTGGATTATACATGGAGAGGTGCCAGACCCGTTTGTTGCGAAAAGTGTAATTTCAGTGGATTTACAACGGCAGCGCGAACTGCATTTTTCACCACATTTTTAAGGGGAAAGAATGAAATCAATTTTGAGTAAATTAGCGTCCTTAAATTTCGAATTATTGAAGCTTCAAGCATTTCTGAAATTTACCGTTATATAAAACGCGGCCGTAATTTTAGTCCGATTTCAATAAATTTCAACGTTTTGCTTTTATTTGGCAAGCACAATAAAAATACCGAGTTTGGTACAAATTGATAGAACGGTTACCGATATACATATATGTGATCATAAATGGGCGGTGCCACGCCCATTTTCCAAAACTTTACCATAAACGTATATCTTGGTAAAGAATTGTTGCAAGCATCAATTTTGAATAAATTAGCTTTAATATTTACTGATTTATCGAAGATTTTGTATTTCTCTAAATTACCGTTATGTGGGATGTGGGCGTGGTTATTGTCCGATTTTTTAAATTTTCGGCCATTTAGTATGCTGTACCAAGGCCAACAACTGTGCCAAGCTTGGAAGAAATTGGTATAGCGGTTACCAAGATATACACATGTAACCATAAGTGGGCGTGGCTACGCCCATTTTCCAAAAATTTATAATATTCTTATTTTTCGTCTGAAAATTATTACAAATACTAATTTTGAGTGAATTATCTTCAGTAGTTACTAAAATATCGCAGTTTTCGTATTTCTGGAAATTACCGTTATATGGGAAGTGGGCGTGGTTACTGTCCGATTTCGCCCATTTTCAATACCAACCTACCTTGGATTAACAGAAACCTACATACCAAATTTCGTTGAGATATCTCAATTTTTGCTCGAGTTATCGTGTACACGGACGGACGGACAGACGGACAGACAGACATGGCTTAATCGATTTCTCTATTCATTCTGAGCATATATGTATACATTTGTCTATATTTATCTCGATTCGTCTTGTACGTATAGTTTACAGATAATGCATTTCACAATTATTTTAAAATTTGTTTTGAAAGACTTTAATCTCCGAGAGCGAAGGCAGAGCCGATGATCGCATTATGAGAGTAAAAGATGTATTGACTAAATGTATGGATCGCGTTTTGAAAGTCCTACACATTCAGTATTTATTGACGGTATTGCGGAACGCGATCCAGATTTCAAAATTTTTAGAAATTTTGCGATATGGATCGCGATCCATCAATCCTGCATGCTACACCGTCAATAAATATCGCGATACTTGGATCACGTCAATAAATAATGACCGTGTGACAGGGCTTTCAGCACAAAAATTATGCAAATACTGACGCGATAAATATTGAACATGTAGCATTCGTGCGCGATCCATCAATCCATCAATATGGATCGTGATAATTACTGACCGTGTGACAGAGCATAAAGGGGTAATATCGCGCGCACCTGAATTTCCACCAGGGTAGCCAACTCGTGGTGAGTTCCCCGACTTGCGCGGAATTTCAGTTTGCTCGAGAATCAAGGAATGGACTGTTTTTTGTGCGGAATTTCAGTTTACGTGGGGAATCGGGGGATAAAATGATTTTTTTGTGGGGAATAAGGTGTATTTAATTTTCTTCTTTTTTGCTTTATTAATTTTATAATGAGTTAAAAAAGTGGCATAAGAAATACAACTGCAACTAAAAGTACTGATTTTGCAACCCTGCCGATTATGCAAATAACCGTTTTTTTTTTGAATTTGCTTTGTAGTGAATAAAAATTGTGTTTTTATATGGAAGAAAACCGCAACCAACACCAAACAAAATTCTAAAAGGAAAATTTTTAGTGGCTTGAAACTTGCATTTTTATATACTAGAACTGAGTGTGCTACAATCCTGCATACCCAAAATCTTTTGGAAAATTTTATAGTCGAAATCGGGAAATTCCCAAAATGAGTTGGCTACCCTGATTGCCACCCACTTCCATTCACAATCAAATAATTGGAAATGTGACTCTGATAATTAAAAAAGAAGTAGAAAATAAACAAAAACAGCTGGTTATAAAAGTTTTAAAACAATACAAGTTAAATTCTTCGCAAGAACTCTTTCCAAAAATGAAAGTGGTACATTATACTCCCGCGAAGGAAGAGCTACTGCCAACTCGTAAAATTATGTGCACTTATCCGAACTGCGATTCCACCTTCACGAATGTCGGTAATCTGGATATGCACCTAAAACGCCATCATGGCAAACAACCTACCAAAAGCCTTGATCTAAGTGAAAAAGAATGCCTTTTTCATTGCCCCCAGTTGGAATGTACGTACCACGAAGCACATACTAGTAAAATGCACTTTAAAACATTGAAATACCTACGTCAGCACTATCAGAAAGTGCATGTAGCCAAAACCAATATCTGCAATCAGTGTGGCAAAGCTTTTATCAGCAGCAGTCAGCTGAAAGTGCATATGGAAAGGATGTGTGGAGTTAAATATACTTGCAGAGAGTGTGGTTGGGTATATAGTTCCATGGAAGCATTACAGACTCACGGAAAACGGAAAGAGCATAAGGTGCGGGATGACCGAGTAATCGAAAAGAAAGCTCCATCGACAAGAAAAAGACATGCGGCGGAAGTGCGAAACGAAAATAATGACCAGGAAACACAAACTGATGGTAAATACTCTTAATTGTAAAATCAATGTAACTTATGATTCTATCATTCCATTTGACAGTACCGCCAGCAGCAAAATGTGTTGGTGAAACCAATATTCAGGCAGGAACTAGTAAAACTTGTATGAAATCTACACATGATAAAATTGTTTCGACGGATACACAACCACTGAATGATATAGCAGAGCCAAGAAATATAGAAACTCAAACCGAAAATCAAATGATAAGATCATTACGCCAAACTACCTTCAACACCTCAACTCCTACAATGCATTCCTCGTTGGCAACTTCACAATTGCTTCCTCCCTCAACCCATACGTACACTCAAACATACGACGATCTTTTCGCAGATTCTTTGCTAGGTTTGACGGACATACAAACGCAAACCAATTGGTCCAGCTTCACTGATGCTGCAGCAACGGCTGAAGAGTTTTCTTCACATGCATATAATACATCTAGTGCAGGCACATGCACACGATGCGCCTATGATGAGCTGCTGGTTTCTACAGAAACTCAAACTAGTTTTACGAAGTGTTTGCTGGAATCACGCACTACTACCGGCGATAGTGAAGATGGTACATTTAGCAATCTATATCAAACACAGCAAACACAAACATGTGACATGTTACTTGGCGCACTCTTTGGTGCACAGGAGAGTGATCTACTTAGTGGTTATCACTCAACGTATACGCAAACATGATGGTTCGATTTGGATTTACACACGATTGATGGGGAAGAGGATGAAAGAGGTAACAGTTTGGGTGATTAGGAAGCATAAGTGGTGGGATTTGGATTGAATCGCCATACAACTGTTATATACAAGATGGGGGCGTTAATGATATGCGTAAGCATACAAATTAGGCATGTAAGTTTAGTACTACATGCGGTAAGAAAATACTAAAAAAGATTATTGTATAATGATGTCAACAAAATAGTACGTAAAGTAGTGCACTTTCTATGCCCACATACATATGTATATACGCACATGCACACATTTAGTTGGTAAAATAAATTTATTATTTATTTATTTATTTATAAAAGGCTTACATAACAAAGTAAAAGTCTGTTCTGCCTGTTCCAAGTAAGATAAGGAAGCAAAGCGAAGCATAGTGCACGAATTAAAATAAAGCAGCTCCGCTGGCTTGGCCATGTCGTTCGAATGGACACCGATGCTCCAGCTCTGAAAGTATTTAACTCGGAACCCGCTGGTGGTACCAGAGGAAGAGGGAGGCTCCCACTGCGATGCAAAGGCCAGGTCGAGAAGGACTGAGCTTCACTTGGCATTTCTAATTGGCGTCAGTTGGCACAGAAAAAAAACGACTGGCGTGCTTTGTTGAACTCGGCCAAAATCGCTTAGGCGGTTACAGTGCCAAATGTTATGTTTTATGAATTTGGATGTATGTATATCTATAGACTATATGTAGTTTAATGGAAATCGGAGAAGCTTTTTCATTCCCACGACAGCCGGTTCTACGTACCGGAATGACTCGGGTTTCA